GAATATTAATTGATTTAATTTCAATAATTTTCACTTTTCAGTGTTTATTTACCATCAAGCTAAGCGAAGGCGAAAAAGGCCAGTTTTGAGTTTTCAGGTAAAAAGCTAAAAAAGTCCATATTACTGAAGGAATTGGAACAATGTAACTTTAATAAGCTGAGTAAAGAGTATATTAAAAAATTAGCTTAGAATGTAAGCGATTATGATAAGAGTGTAGGGTCTTTGGGAAAGGTAAAAACCGAGATTTTATTTACACCAGGATGAGGAATTTTAGTGTTACCGCCACTCATCTAAAAAAATACTTAATTATATCATACAAAACTGCATATAATTGATGAACTAACCTTTCAATCACGGCTATGAAGACACACAACAGTCACAAACTAAATGTCTTTATATTGCACCAAATAGGTGTCTACAGCTAATATATGTCCTTATGCACTTCAAACTTCAACAAATTTTAAACAAATAAACTACAACTCAAGAAAAATAAGCACCCGTGCGACTACAAACAACGTTGAACGTCAATGTCTGTATTCTCGATGACGTATACATTCCGTCCCTCCCGCTTCCTCCCACATAGTTACCAGGTAACCTTTGAAATAAAATAACCTCGGGGCGAACCCCTGACATTTTTTCGGCCACAGAACGTATACCTACCTACTGTATCATATTATCATTAATTGTCTCTTTGCTTTAAAACAGATTGTAGGTAACTTTCAATTAAGTCCAAAATCTTTAATACGTTTTCAGAGTTTCTCCTCATTTACATTCTTGAGCAACAAAACTTCAAGCTTGAAGATTGAGTTGAAGTTTTAGAAGTGAGGTATGTGTTTGACGGTGGAATGTCTTTTCTAAACTGTATATATGGAAAAAATTTTTGTTTTGGTAGAGAACTCGCACAAAGTATCTAAGGGTTGTGGTGTCTTAATGTACCTTTTCGTGAATGTATTCAATTATTCAAACGTAGTTGAAAGAGAAATATTATTTCCTTGGATGACTATGGAAAGGAACACATATTTTGATATCTCCATGTAATATAAAGAACTAAAACTTGTCAGTTCTACTTTGTAAAATGATTTTAATTAAATAGACATGCTGCAAATAAATAGATCCTTTGTCTACATTACACAATTGACAATGAAAACTTCAAGCCAGACGGAAAGTTTCTCAAGCACTCACTTTACGTTTAAAATATAAAAGCCATGCCACGCCACCATCTGCCGAAGCGACGCCGGATAATCGGAGCTTTTCCAACATGTGTTTTATGCAAAATCTATAGAAATGCACATTAGAATTTACGGTTACATGTAAAAGGGAAAGCTTTTAGAGAATACGTAAAGTTCCGCCCTCATAAAATATTATTTTCACTTTAAAAATATCGACATAGCGTAACTTCAAATAAAAACTATACTTTCTTTTTTATCGTTCTGAAATTGTAAAGCAGAATTTATAACATCGACGCTTATCCGTGCATCTATCCGATTTGTTTCGAAGTCGTTTTACTTTAACGGCTGTTTTGCTAAGACACTAACATTCTTTATTCTTTCAGATTGATTTATAACAACTAGAAGTTCTGGTAAGTAGAGCATGTTGAGCTATAAGTTGTACGCCCAACTGAGAAGAATGGACTAGAGGATTTATAAAGTTTTGAAAATGTTATCGCTAAGTGGTGTTTCCATCCTTTGTTACCCTTACACAGAAATTAAAATCAAACTAGAACTATACATTTAGTGCATTACGCCCACCACTATATTTGGTAACTATGTACTTATTATAGTATAGTAAGCGCATTCACTTTTTAGCAAAAAAGTGAATTTTTATCAGTCTACATTCCTTATTTCATCTAGCGTTGAATAATTTCAATTTTCAATTACACCAACACAACAGCAACATTGATCTCTCTAGTCTTCGAAAAGCTGCTTTTTTCGGCACTGTGCATATGTTCTCCTCGTAGTAAGTAGAAATGTGACAATCTGTACCTGCCAACATTTACTAACGAGCGAGAGTGGGGAGAAGGTGGCACATTTCCATTAATTACTACCTTCATTTATATGCGCAGGTACTTTGTCAGGAAGTTTTAGATTCCATCATGACAGTGGCAGTAACACTTTCTGTGGCTACTTTTCCTGCCTTCTAGTCTTAGTGCTTTACCCGACTGCTGTCAAAACTGATATTAATAAAAATTAAAAATATGGCGATTTCGGGGAAAGTGCAATACAAAACTCGTCAGTAAAATGATACTCCTTGATTCGAAAATTAAAGTACTCGGTTCCAAGCCCCAAGGAGGCCTCGTACCCCAATATTTCCTTGCCGGTAATATCTTTTTCCGTAGTTTTATGTAAATAACTGTATTCATTATGTGGTAAACTCGAGGGTAAACTGTTTATTGCGGTTAGTAAACATGTTGGTGATCCCTGACCCTTCTTTCGACGAAAAAACGGTTTCCTACAAGAGATGAGCCCTTTGGCCATCAATCAAAAACGTGTGAATTCAAGGGATGGCTATACCTACACTCTACAGCTTCGCGTATAAGTACGCCAAATAACAAAAAATCCCAAATAAATGCTTATTTGTGAAACTGAAGTTACCTAATTAGATCACTTCGAAAGAAAACAGATTACTATGAAAAATAAAAGAAAACTACACGGTTTCGTATAATTCGAGGTATAATTAAATAGCGTCGTGCCATTAAACTCGTTGCGCGTGCTTTAAAGACTTGATTATACACTTGTATCTTAATATACTATTTCGTTGAAATCAAAATTTTGTTGTGGCCAAAAGTCTGCATCTTGTAGCCACCCAGTAACCTCTCATCATTTTGATTCAAACAACCGCATCCGCCCGATGAAAGGTGTGGCCATTCATCCGCCCCTGAAGGATTTCTAATTTCTTTCACTCTGTCTTTACCTTTCCAAGAAAATACTGTGGAAGAATCTGTCCAAAAGTACATTTTAATCCATTCCTTGTTTCACTGTTTTTGCCAATGGGGTTCCTATCACCGCGGCTAGTATTTCTAATCGTGGAATTGTGACTAACTTCACTGGAGCTACGCGATGCTACCAGGTTTATATGAACTCCATCTAACCGTATAGCATCTATCCGTATAGTCTTAAAAAGACAACTTCTGCAAATTCAATTTTGATTGCGCCACAGAAAATGTGTAGATGTGGGTCCTTTCATCCATGTGCGGAATAACCTCTTTGTTTACTGTGTCATCTCAACCCAACCACAGTTTTGGAGTCAGTGTAGCAGGACAAGTGAAACCTACTGTATCGAATATCTTCTGGGTCAGAGAGAGCATGAGATGTTAGGTGATGGATTTTCAGGGGATAAATCTAGGGATAAATACTCATCGCATCAGGTGTTGACTTTCCATTAGTGTCCAAAATCAGGTGAAGTAGAGGCGTAGATTTTGATGATCCGTCAGAGGTTTTACACGAGAATGCTCCCACCCTCTTAAGTGAAACCTGGCTGGTCCAAAATCATACTGGACTCACGAATGAATCGCGGCACGTGCTTGCCGCACCATCATTGAGCGATATCTAGACATACTGCGTCCTAATGGTCACACCATTCGAACACTCGTGCGAAATTGTTTGTATTTTATCATAAAATCATGGCCGACTACTCAAAACAAAATCCGAAAAAAAACTGAAAGTTCACGTAGAATCCAAAAATGAAATAAAAAAGGTTGTCATTTAAAATGTCGTCACTAGCTACTTCCGATATTTCCGGAATTGCCACCACTTTGAAAATATTTTACATGGATTCGGCCTTCAGAGTAACTCCTAAGTGCAAATTTTCAAAAACGGACACTTTCTCTGAAGGATGAAACGTTTAACTAAAGCTCTTATAAACACCCTGTATAAATAAACACATTCTGAAATAAATAGCAAGTGTCCAAAAAGAGTACACATTTCGAATCTTCATGTATTTATCATTTCAGTAGTGATGTGTCATATACGTGTCAAAAAGTACCAAACAGAAACGTTTCATTTGTAATGTAAAAAATGACTACGTTTCATGAACGTTGCACTTGAAATGTTTCGTAACATTTGTATTATAAATATTTCAGTCAGATGTCAATATTGTATTACGGTATACCACTTCCGGGAATGACAAACATGACTACTTCTGTCTTCTCTCTTACACTCCTTCGATCTCTTTTGTTTGCCGCGATGTATTATAGAAAAAAATCGAACAAAAATAAGGAAGTTTGCAGAATGATTATATTGTACCCTTTATCGCTATACTTTACGTGCAAGAACTGCAAAATCAATATCACGCTCAAAAATTAATCGAGTGATAGGACAGTAATAGTATATTACGCACCGAGTGCGAAAGTAGGTTATTTTTCGAAGAATTTTAATCACCCGAGGCGCGCAGCGCCGAGGGTGATTATATTCTAAGAAAAATAACCTTTCGTCGAGGTTCGTATACGATTTTATTCACGATCATCATTATAATCATTCCATTATCAAAAATAAAATAATTCACTAAATTTATACGTACCTATTATATTCATCTTATGCGCTATCTGCAATATTATTGCCCTACATAAAATGTTGTCGGTAATACAGATTTGGAAATTTACCTAATTAATATTCATATTAATTTAACACGCATGTTAAAAAATGGCCCATACTAAAGAATTTCAATGTACATCCCCTCAAATAAGGGAAATTGAGTGTAGTAAAAAATTTACTCCCCGAATGAATTTTTGAAGAGAATGAACAATGGTGGGCAGGAAAGAGTATAGGTAAAACATTGTTTTACTTGCTTATTTTAATGAGGTAAAGGTAAAGAAATCATCCACATTATGAACGACCAAATAATGTTGTGATCCACATTCAAACCTAAAGCGGTAATGCCTAATGACCATGTCAGTTTTATTATTCTAAAATGTACCTACAGCGATCTTTTATGATTACAGATTTAGACTGGGTTACAATATTAGTATTATAATCTGTGTAGATGTCAATAACGAAAGATTTATTCTCCAGATCCAATCAGGTAGTCACTAAACACCTGTTCCAATACGATAGCCCTAAAAAATAGCATTATCTATTTCTAAAATGTGACATTACCGGACATTGTTTTTGGCATCTCATCGCTACAATATTAGCAAGTGCTGGTGGAGTTCTTCAACTTAAAACAGTTCGGTGGCTGTAGATCGGCTGCAGTAGCAGAAGGTTTCGTCGCCCATTCAGTGGCTCATTCGCTTTACGGGCACGCGAAAATAACAAAGTATGGCAGTATCCTCTTCAGGTAGTGCTACGACGTCTCCGATATGCAACATTATGATGCCATAAATTGCCATCCCTTGCTCTTCTCATGGGTCGCAAGCGCAACCCAATATTTCCATGTCTTATGGACAAGAATTGAACTTTTCCACCCAGAAATTTAAACAGTAATGGGCTCTCTAAAGTAACAATCAATTTCATTAAACTCAAGTTCGAGTTTTATACACTTACCGATCCTTCAATAATTAACGGTTTCTTTTTGCTTTTGTTTTTACTTAACCATTTAGCACCGCGCTCGTTTAGTTTTAGGTTACGTGAAACAAACCATCATCTCCGTAATCTGGCTAAAGTTAATCACAACTCCTACTTGTGTTTACTTCGGTCCGCATTTACTTATTTCACATTTTCGCGTTTGGTCGTTCATTTGCAATTTACAAAAAAAGCACAGAGCTTAAAATAATCCATATTACTCATTATAAGAATAAGAATTGTTTTTAAAATGCGGTTATGAACAATTTGCATCTAAATCAGCTGTCATCTGTGTCAGACAGTTGCGATGAGAGCGCCATCCATTAGGATATTAGCAACTAAATCGAGGTAGGTAATGAAATATTACTAACCTCGAATCGAACATTACTAACCTCGAGAATCTACTTTCCTCCCTCCTGGAAAAATAAGTGTTGTAAAACACAACTTCCTTATCCTTCAAAATGACAATTATGAGACTGATTACAATATGATCGTGAATAAACATTTTTTCAACAATACCGTTGAGGGAGAAATCTAAAGAAACGCAATTTGATTATTACTCTCGCCAGAAAACGGAAAGATTGCCGGTCACGGCACACCTTGTGTCGATCTACAATCCATGTTTTTCTTAAAACGCGAGCGGCTTCCGGAATAGGATCGTCCCAATGTTGAACGAAAAGTCTTTTCGTTTAACATTGACACGATACTATCTCGGAAGTCGCTCACATCTTTAGAAAAACATAGATTGTAGATCGGGATCAAGTGTTCTGTGACCGGCAATCTTTCCTGGCGAGAGGTTTAATGTAGATGATGCTTATTCAGGCACCGACAAATAGATACGCCACTTGTTAAAAGGCACCAACCAAGATACCTCCGCGAATTCGTAATGGACCATTTACACGAGGCCAATTATTAAGACATTCCAGCAAGCCAATCCAATTTTGGCATCGGACAATCCAGTGTTGGCATCGTGTGAATAAAGACAATCCATTTAAATGGAATGTCTCGCTATTGTCTCAAGCCCATCCACTAAATAGAATGATTTCTATCTTTCGGCGCCAATAGCTTCCCCCACCACTTGCGCATTGAGCTGGCGTGTGGAATCGCCTTGTGAGAACGTGCGTTCCTAGCTACTTGCAAGTACCAAGCCAATCCATGACTATAGATCGTCTCACGTAAAAAAGGAATCGGGAGAAAGTAGTGTAACCTCCCACTAAGTTTATTGTTCATCTCAATGTCGTTGTGCTTTGAATAAAGATAGGTATAAAACTGGTAATTATTCGGGCCGTTGGAACCACCCTCTAGACTCCCAATGAATGAGCGAAGTGTTTATAACCGCATAGATGTTTATAATTTGAATGGTCAACTGTATAAGCATTTAACAGATTTGTGTAGATCCAGTGGCGTACGATATTTACTGATTTAGAGTAGCTACTCATTACACAGATAAAAACACACACTTGCAATGCTGACTTTTTCTTTTTAAATATTTATAAGATATAATTACTGTTCATGTCGAATTACTCTGTTCATTTATTGATTGACCTTGCCCAGTTCCATTGGGTGTTAGTTTGTGAAATGCAAGAAAACACTGAGGTATTTATTAAATAATTTCAATTGCAACGTAATGATCGTTTATTAAACTAACGAGAGTTTTTTTACAAATGAAGATAAATAATATACTATTATTACGTAATGGTAAATATGTACAATTTGCCAATCTGATGTTATTGATTGTATACTAATGTTATCAATCATCACTAAAACAAAAATCGCTTTCATTAGAGTCATCTTCGCCTAAATCAATGATTACGTCATTTACAGAAATGTCAAGAACATGTTCTGATTCCATAAACTGAGATTCCAACTTTTTGGAATGTTCGCATGCTGATTGTATGACGCTTGCACAATCTTGGGCAAATTTTGTTTCTGCTAACCGTTTAATATCGTCCAGCTTGAATGTAGTGTTGTGTGAAGCAACCCACTGTTTAATATAAGCCCAAATTCTTTCAATGGGGTTCAATTCGGGATGATATGGCGGAAGTCGCAAAACTGAATGTCCATGGGCTGCTAATACAGAATCAACAGTATACTTTTTTGTATCAGACTGAGATCTGTGCCTTTTTATTACCTCATACAACTCCAGTTTGGTCATCTTTTTCGTATAGGGAACATTTTTGTCATCCAACCATCGTTGCATTTCTTCTTTTTTATTTGACAGTACGATGTTCTTTTCTGAGAGTGTATTGTGATAAGCTGCGTTGTCCATAACAACGACAGATTCTGGAAGAAGATTTGGGATCAATTTTTCCTCTAACCATTTCATAAAATTATTTCCATTCATGTCATCGTGGTAGTCTCCAGTTTTGCTTCCGGATTTAAAAATTAGCAACGCATTTGGTACAAATCCACCCTCATGCAGTGCGTGTAAAATCACTAAACGTGGACCTTTCCCTATTGGTGGATGTAATCCCGCTGAAGCTCCGTCTGACCAAGAAGAAGGCAAAGTATGGCTTGAATTGATGTAGGTTTCATCTAAATATACGATTGGCCGTTTTTCCTCACGGTATGATGATATTTTCTTCAAATATGCTAATCTAATCTGATCCTAACATCATATTTCTCCATGAGGAACGCGCGATTATCCGCGGTTTTCTGCCATCTGAAACCATGAATTAATAAACTCACATTTGAAATTGATACCATATGGTCCTTATAGTTAGCAAATAAGAAAATAAAGAACCGTTTCCATTAACAAAACGAGGCGATGAATCATTCATTACTGAATTAAAACTTGTTTTGCAAAATCCATAATAGAGCTGTTGCGTCTGTAAAAGGACCATACGGTATGCAATGATGCACGTATCGTAAATTGTGCAAAATAAAATACTACTGATGATACAAATAATAACTACACTTACCTAAAACCAATTTTTGGTAGCAATCTCGCAAGAGAAGCTTTGCTTCCTTGATACAGCCCATCATCTTTCAAGGAAACTAGCAGTCGGTCTAATGTAGGTTGTTGTTTGTGGATTATGTGGTAATTGTGGATGTGCCGCCTGAAAAAGTCAATAGTGTGTTGGTCCACTACAGATTTTGAACTGCTTCTGACGCGCTTGTTGCTTGGTGTGGTAAAATTCTGTTTCTGTCCACTTTGAATTTCCTTTCCTTCTTCCTGAACTTGTAATACCAAGTTTTTGGAAACTCCCAGCGCCTTGCAGCAACGTTCCAACACACATCCTATTGGAATTGTCACACCATTCGTAGCCTCCTCTTTCATAAACTGAAGCACATTATAAATTAACTCTCGACATTTACTATCATACACCATAATTTTATAGCACTAGATGCTCCAAATCGGATAAATGACATGCAAATAATAAGAGAAGAAGTAAATTTCCGAATTTATAATAACATGAGCTCCCTACAAATGAGTTATTAATCATTATTTATCATATCAACATTATCCCTAACTTTCCCAAATGTTAAAGGTTTAATTAAATGCAATGATTAATAAACGATCATTATGTTGCAAATGACAATATTAAATAAATACCTCAGTGTTTTCCTGCATTTGAGAAACTGACACCCAATGGAACTGGGCAAGGTTAATCAATAAATTAACAGGGTAATTCGGCATGAACAGCAATTATATCTTATAAATATTTCAAAGAAAAGTCAGCATTGCAAGTGTGTGTTTTTATCTGTGTAATGAGTAGCTACTCTAAATCAGTAAATATCGTACGCCACTGGATCTACACAAATCTGATTAATGCTTATACAGTTGACCATTCAAATTATAAACATCTATGCGGTTATAAACACTTCGCTCATTCATTGGGAGTGTAGAGGGTGGTTCCAACGGCCCGAATAATTACCAGTTTTATACCTATCTTTATTCAAAGCACAGCGACATTGAGATGAACAATAAACTTAGTGGGAGGTTACACTACTTTCTTCCGATTCCTTTTTTACGTGAGACGATCTATAAGGTGTTTGACGGACGGTAGCACGTATTGTTTCTATTGTACTAGACTAGACCACGTGTAAACCCTCGGCATTTTACTTATTGGAATGTCCTCAATTTTTTCATTGGATTGGCCTGCTTGGATGTCTTGATAATTGACGTGTAAATGAGCCTTAAAGGGTAGTAGATTTACGCATCAGTGTCGCACGTCTATCACACCCACGCCCCTTTCACTGTGGACGGTGGGATAATCGGTGGCTTCGGTGGGATGCGGGAAGTTTTGGTAAGTGAGATGGGGAATACGTACCGCAATTTTACATTCTAGTTGCGCCTCTTTACTATTTCTCGCTCAACGACAACACTTACAAAAATTTACAGATCAATCTTAAAGTCGCACGAAACAAAGGCCCAGAATTTACCGAAAATTGCGTCTTTTCAAAATGGCGACATCCTTTCCTATAATTTACGTGTAATTTCTTGTAATCCAAGTGACTATTAGTAATATCATAATATATCTGTATTATACTATGGTAATATACAGTGAATTTTTTTTAAATACGAACATAGGAGTTTGCATGCAATGTAATTTCCCTATGTTCGATTTTTAAAAAAAACACATCAATCTATGAGGTGTGCGCGGTTCACATTCCCACCAGCAAAACGCGCAACTTGTGGGACTATGAACAGCAATTTTAGTCTTGATGAAGAGCGCTCGGTAAGATTTTTAAAGTAGCCATGTGAGGCCATAGCAACTTTAGGATAAATTTTTCTTAAACTTACAATAACTTGACCTCACAGGGCACGCGCTGACACCACAACTCATTGTGAACCAACCTTCAATTATTTGTAGGTCATGTGCACCTGGTATTCTACTAATTTGATCTATTCAATACATAAATGAAGAAAATAAGAAAATAAATAACGAAAATAATTACAATAAATGTCCTCCTTGACATTCTAAGCAATAATCAAACCAATTTCGTAATTAAATTTGACGGCGGTATTTTTAATAATGTGACAGCTGTCAATTGTATCTACTACTCATTTGAACTACTCAATAGATTGATGTGTTTTTTTTTTAAATAGAACATAGGGAAATTACATTGCATGCAAACTCCTATGTTCGAATTTAAAAAAAATTCACTGTATATGAATAAAGTTAAGATAATAATAATTATTATTATTATCATAAATATCTTAGAAGTTCTAAGTGTCGATAC